CTACGTTTGCTGACCCACCCCAAACTCCTTGATCAATAAGTCGAACGTGACCTCTTGATCGAGAACCTATCCATTCGAGCTGTCCAGTGTTGTAACGGGGTGAATCGTTACATAACAATTTATAAGAAATTGTTAATAGAATATAACTATAAGAGTTATATTCTCAGAATGTTGTCATAAGGACAATATTCTGTAGCACTTCCAAGTAGTTCCTAATTGGTTGATATAGGCCATTATATCAACCAACGAAGACGCGCCACGACAGACGCACGCAATGAGTGGTGAGCAGATAACTGATTTACACATTTGTATTTAGACATAGTTAGATGAAGATAAATAGTGATTTATTGCAGACATTAACTATTATAAATACAGTTCTACTTTTACTCTAACCGAGTACTCGCTTCTTCTTACCGTCTTCCTCTGCACGTACGAGTGTACGTGAAGTTACGAGGCACCGCCTTATTCTGTCATCAGAATAAGTAGCTTGTACTGTCACCAGTACAAGCTTCAGGGTGCCCCGTTACACCTGGTAGCACTTCGTAGTCCGTCCAAGGACCGCGTTCACATCCAACATGAATATGTTGGATGATGAAGATGACCAAAGCTTTCACGCTACGCGTGACGGCTACTCCCATTTGAGCGATGTCGAATGGGATGCGGTTGAACGAATGGGTTCGACCATGGGCATCCATGCTGTTAGCGTCATGCTAGAGGCTCTCAATAGAGATGCCCAACATGCTACTATCGCCAAGTTCATTCAAAATGAACTTGACGCAGAACGCGAGAAAGTAGCCTTGCTTCACCAACAAGGTTCTCAACAAGCAGAGTTGTTGAGAGAACAAGGTGCTCAACAGTTTGAACTGTTGAGACAGCAGCAGGCTGCTGCTGGCGGGTCGATGCACTCGCGTCGGCCCGAGACTTTGAAGATTGACATCTCAAAGTATAGGGGGGTCGAAGAAGACTCCCTCTTGAGATGGTTCGTCGAATTGGATGACGCCATAAGGGCGCGTCGCATCGACGACGGGGATATGCAAGTTGCATTTGCCCAGTCAAATCTGGCAGGACGTGCCAAGACTTGGGCACTGGGGCTCAAGCTGCACGACCCATACGCGTTTGGGTCGTTGGAAGTCTTCAAGTCGCGGCTCAGACAAACGTTTGAACCGCCTAGAGCTGAGTTCAGAGCTCGAACCGAACTCTTGAAGCTCAAGCAGGGTAAGCGTGATGTGCACGCTTACGCTCAACATATACGACATCTCACGAGTTGTATAAGTTCCAATCCGGTGGATGAACACACGTTGGTTTCGGTGTTCATGCAGGGTCTTGCGGATGGTCCCGTCAAGACTCACCTGTTCCGGCTTGAACTAGATTCACTAGAACAAGCCATTTCAATTGCGGAGCAGGAAGACTTCAGTCTGAGACAGGCTCGCGCCAGCTCGACATCATATCGTCAACCGAGACGATATGACAACGGAGGTCCAGAGCCGATGGAACTCTGTTATGTAGAGAGCGAGAAGGCTCGCTCTACAGGCTACAAGAAGTTGCAGAGATGCAACAGATGTCAAAAGACAGGACACTACGCTTACGAGTGTAGTGCCCCTCGTCCAGTGTCTCGCGACACTGGGCGTAGTGACCGTCCACCCATGAGAAAGGGGCAGGGACGAGGGTCCGCAGTTGGTGCAAAGACGCAACAACGGGATGGACCGTCAAAAAACGGACAGGATCAGTAGGTGCGGAGCACCCTACTGATCCAGCAACGTCAAGAGAATTTGTAGGCCTCTTGATGAAGGTTGCTCCCAACACACAGACATTGTGCGTTGCTGCTCTAGGTAATGAGATCTCACTCATTACCTTGAAACTCGAAGTGACGAATAAGTTGTCCCTTCGAGCTCTAGTCGATTGTGGGGCGTCCAACAATTTTGTGCGACGCCAATCGCTAGAAGATGGTCACTTTAAATTCAGTGAATGTGACACACCTCCTACGAGGATGACGGTACGTCTTGCGACAGGCGCATCCGTAACCGTCATGAAGCGTATAGTGAAGATTCACTATACGCTAGAAGATACCCAATACGACGATGACTTTATCGTATTGGATTTGGATGACAAATTTGATGTCATCCTTGGAATACCGTGGCTCAGAAGGTACGAACCACGGGTAAACTGGCAACATCGAACAGTAACGATGCCTGCCGCTTGTTCATCAGATGGCCATCTGATGAACGTTTTGGAGCGTCCACAAGCGTGTGGATGTACTACGAGTGAGTGCGATGGCCTCACTTGTGGTACGGTCGTTAGTACGACTGCACAAAACCTTAGTGTACCAAACGGTTACACTTCGGAGCAAAGTTCCGGCGGCTGTGAGGAAACACAGGCTGCGCCGAAGGTCCACCACTCGAATAAGTCGGGTGGACTGGGACAAAGATGTATCCCTAGAGGGGAACATCTAGAAGAGAAACAATCGATCGCTCAGGTTAAGCGAAACGATAATCCTAGATCGACTGGAGAGTCTTTCGTAGAGGATCTCGCTGTGGTTGCGCAACCCCAGCTAGAGGAAGTAAAGGGAATAAGTCCCAAGATTACAAATACGGCGGAAATAAGTTCCCCGAAACCCGCGGGAATAAGTCCCCGGGAAGACGAAGGAATAAGTCCTTCGAAGCCTGAGGGAATAAGTCCCCAGGAAATGACAGAGACATTGAATGTCATAGTCAATAACGGATCATGTGTAGGCGCTTATACACTTGATCTGATTGCGCCTCCGAAGTTAACTTCGGAGATCACTCAGTTGCCAACGCTCGAACATAAAAGATTCTTGCGTGATCTGCGTAGTGGCAAAGTCAAGCAGATCTGCGTACTCGTCGATGAAGACGAGTATGTAACCGACATAAGGTCAGCAACAGTGTTTACTGAGAACGAGAGAGTTCTCAGTAGTTCATCTATGGACGAGAGTGTCCTAGATGAAAAGACACGAATTGAGCGATATGAGTCCCAATCATGGGAATCGCTCAAGGAAAATCCTCTCTATGAAGATTTGGTTGAATTCAAGGATGTATTCCCTGAAACTGTTCCGTGCGAATTACCGAAGGATAAAGGTATTCGACACGAAGTCGAGCTTAAACCAGGCTCGAAGTACTGTGTCATGAAGCAGTGGCCACTGCCTCGTGAACAAGTACTTGCGATCGACAAGTTCTTTGCCGATCGTTTAGCAGCGGGCCATGTGAGGGAATCAACTTCCCCACATAGCTCTCCGACCTTCTGTGTGCGAAAAGCAACAGGAGGGTGGCGGATAGTGCACGCGTTTAACAAATTGAACGCTGCAACGGTACCGGCTCAGACGCCGATACCGAGGAAGGACGTAATCATTGATGGTATGTCAAAGAGTACCATCTTTTCGTCCATGGATTTGATGGATGGCTTCTATCAAATCCTAATGCGGGAACGGGATATACCCTATACCGCAGTTAGCACGCCTAGCGGCATGCTCTGGGAATGGCTAGTAATGCCACAAGGGCTCAGTAATGCCCCTGCCACGTTCAACAGGTGTGTATCACATCTGTTGAGGCCGGTACGAGAATTCGCGCCGAGTTATTTCGATGACGTATTCATCCATAGTCGAGCTATGGATGGAAAGTCGGACGTTGAGGTTCACAAGTACCACGTCCGACAAGTTCTTACAATCATGCGAAAGCATCAATTGTATGCAAACCTCAAGAAGTGTATATTTGCAGCAAGCGAAATACCACTTCTTGGGTGCATCGTTGGTAAGAACGGTGTACGTCCTGATCCCGAAAAGATCAAGGCGATCACCGACTGGCCCGTGCCGGTCGATGTCAAAGGTCTTCGAAAATTCCTTGGGCTAGCGGCGTATTTGCATAAGTATTCACGCAATTACGCCGAGATGACTGTACACCTCTCTCGTTTGTTGAAAAAGAACGAGAGGTGGTTATGGAACGCTGAATGTCAACGCTCCTTTGAGGGTATCAAGCAGAGCTTGATACAATCCCCAGTCCTAGCAATAGCCGATCAGGACAGGCCATTTCATGTGGTCTGTGATGCCAGCGATTTCGCAATCGGCTGTGCATTAATGCAGTACGACCTTGAAGGCGTTGAACGCGTCGTCTGCTATCAGTCGCGTCAGCTGCAACCAGCTGAGCGGAACTATCCAGTGCATGACAAGGAACTCCTTGCCATGAAGTATGCACTCGCGAAGTTCAGAGTCTATCTATTAGGAGATAGACCCTTCGTTGTTTACACTGACCATGCGTCCTTACGCACGGCAGTGAACAGCCCGCACCTTTCACAACGAATGGCGCGGTGGTTGTCATTCTTTGCAGAATACAACTTTACGGTCGAGTACAAACCAGGACGACTTAATGTCGTCGCTGATGCACTCTCACGTCGTCCCGACTTTGAAACAGTCGCGAAACCCAACAGTGAGACAGTCACTGTTGCGGTTATGACGTCCTCAGTTCCATCTACAACGTTGTATGATGATGTGAGGCGGGCGTATGCCCAAGATGGTGAGATAGTGAAGTTGTTGTCACATCTCTCCCAACCATCTCGAGAATCGTTGAAACGATTGTCGTCTGCGTATCGATCTGCATCAGATCGATACACTACTCGTAACGGTTTACTGTACTATACAGCCGTTTCTGGTGACACACCACGTGTTGTCATTCCAGATGATACTGATCTGCGTTTGCGGATCATGTTCGAGTATCACGATGCTCCTATAGGAGGACATCGTGGCCGAGAAAACATATCTCACGGTAAGTCGAGACTTTTACTGGCCCCGCCAGTATCAGTTTGTGCGAAAGTATGTTCGCGCATGCGAAGTCTGCCAACGAGTGAAGTCAAGTCCTTCACTGCGTGCACCTTTACAGCCTCTACCGGTTCCGGCTGAGTGCTGGGAATCCATCTCAATGGATTTCGTCTTCAGGTTACCCAAAGACGCACGCGGGAATACGGGTATTCTCGTATTTGTTGACAGATTCAGCAAAATGGTACACCTTGTGGCTGTACCAGAGACAATCACGGCAAGTGGCTGTGCTTGTGTCTTTATTGACACCATCTTCCGACTTCATGGGTTGCCCCGTGAACTCGTATCAGACAGAGATCCACGATTCACTGCTGATTTCTGGCGTTCCGTGTTCAAATCACTCGGAACGCGCTTGAAGATGTCAGCATCTGATCATCCAGAGTCAGATGGTCAGACGGAACGTGCCAATCGTGTCCTTGAAGAGATACTTCGAGGATACGTACACTCCTTTAAGAGTTGGAGTGAGTTGTTGCCGATGGTAGAGTTTGCCATCAACAACTCGGTGCATGCGTCCACGACACATACACCGTTTTACGTGAATGGCTTGCGCCATCCGCGTGTACCCACCTTACTAGAGCGTAACTCTGGTTTAAGGGGGGAGGGACTCGCGCGAGCAAAAACCGATTTGGTTCACGCTCATCACGCTCTGACGAAGAAGTCATTGCGTTTGATGCCGATATCGATAACATCGATATCGAAGAAGATGATGCCAGTGAGAGTGCGGAAGCCCTCACTGAAGACAATGATCCCAGTGAGAGTGCGGAAGCCCTCACTGAAGAAAAGGTTGTTGTCGCTGCAGTGCGCTCACAGCACACTGAAGCTAACGAGTCATCAGATGAGTTCATACTGGCTCGTGAAACGGTAGTCCGTTTTGTGCAAGACTCTATCGCCGAAGCGGTGGATAAGCAAAAAGCAAAACGCTGACAAGAATGGAAGGGCAAACACTCTTTTATTTAATAAAGGTGACTTAGTCCTACTGTCTACGGTTAATCTACCAAAACATGTAGTGACTAACTTGGGTAGCAGTAAACTACTACCCAAGTACATTGGCCCATTTCGTGTATTGCACCGCCTAGGCAATGCATACACGATCGAGTTACCACGTAAGATGCGAACGCATCCCACGTTTTACGTTGGTCGGCTTAAGCCGTACCATCAGTACGCTGCTTCTTCCGATGAAGAACGCCCTTGCGCTCAAGCATCTCGCAGAGAGCCTTGTGCTCCCGATGATGGGCATCAACAAGGGTCTGAAGAGCAGTTATCTCAGCCCGAGACCGATCAACAATCCCACGAGCTACCCTTAGCTCGTCACGAAGAGATGTCAGAGACCTCTCGTTCTCAAGCTGAGCAAAGGCAAACTCAGCTCGATGCTTCGAGGCAGTGTCCACCATCTGGAGACGCCTATTCCGCTCATGCTCGAGATCGTCGCGTAACCCTTGCGTTACGCGATCAACGAAGCTCTCGGGAACACACCGATCCACATGATCGTGTGGAGAGCGTCTTTCCTCCTCCTCCACCTCCATTAGAGGACTCTCGCGGTGGCCAGCGCTATCTAGTAGAGCAGCTGTTGAACCACCGCGACGTGAACGGACGTCGGACGAGTTACCTCGTCCGGTGGCGCGGCTATCCCCCGTCCTGGGATTCTTGGGAGCCCCGCTCCCAATTGATGGTTGACGTACTGGGTCTGGTCGAGCAGTACGACGCGACACATCCTGTGCCGCAGAAGGACCGCCGGAGAAAGTCTTCCCGGCACGGTCGTAAAGGGATTTGAGATTGTCAATCCCTTCGTACATCTCAGTAGAGACACGTACGCGCCACCACGGGCTGGTAAGGAGGTAAGCCTCCTTAGGTGCTCGTGCAGAGTTGTTCACACAACATGGGCACGAGTCTCCCCAAGAGAGGCAGGGTAATCCTTTCTCCCTTGACAGACGATGCAGCTTGTAGCGTGCACCTGTCGGGGTTCGCTTTTCAAACTTATCACGAGCTTTGATAAGTTTGTCGTTCCAAGCGTCACGACCTACATCCTCGAGATTATGGATGTAGGCGTTCCACGCCTGAAGTAGTGAGGGACCATCACGTTTGTGATTCCCACTGTACCATCGATGTCTGAAGAAAGCATCGATGAAGAACTCATGTTCAGCGCGATAGTCTTTCGCGCTGGGGTCAAGGTGATGAATCCTTGACGAATCGAACAATCGTGTTCGATAACGATCACTCGTCGTCGCCGACAAGTGATCCATGACAGATTTAGGAGGCATCCATGCCTTCTTTTCTGGAGCGAGACGCAACACATTGCGGTCCCGCTCTTCCTGCAATGTGCCGACAGAAGGACTGGCACCTCGTTGCGAAGTGGTGTCCATAGGAGAAACGACACCACTATTAGCGCCCGAGTCTCGCGACCTCGAGCGCCTTCGCTTCGGCGATGGTTCATCTGACTCATCAGATGAACCAAAGATGCTGCGACGCAAAGCATCGTCCATGCCACGCTTGGCAGGCGGCTTGGATTCAATTGCCGTCGATACGGATCCGTCATCCGTATCAGGAGAGTACGAGACACCGAGCTCGTACTCTGTGAAGACACGAGTGTCTTCATGACCAGCGCCTGCATCACCAGGTGATACAGGCTGAGTCGATTCAGCAACCGATGGGATATCAGTTGCTGTAGTTTCTGCTTCGGCGTCCGCACAGAGACGTGCAGACGCGCTCTCGGCGGCCTTGCTCGCGCATCGCATGGGCTTGTTTACCATGCGATGAGATGTTGGAAAGTGGACGCGGACCAACAAGTGCAAACCCCGTCCCAAATGATTTGGGACGAGTATCCATTTAGTCAATCAGTCACTAAAGTGACTGATGGTTAAGGGGGGTGATGTAACGGGGGTGAATCGTTACATAACAATTTATAAGAAATTGTTAATAGAATATAACTATAAGAGTTATATTCTCAGAATATTGTCATAAGGACAAATATTCTGTAGCACTTCCAAGTAGTTCCTAATTGGTTGATATAGGCCATTATATCAACCAACGAAGACGCGCCACGACAGACGCACGCAATGAGTGGTGAGCAGATAACTGATTTACACATTTGTATTTAGACATAGTTAGATGAAGATAAATAGTGATTTATTTGCAGACATTAACTATTATAAATACAGTTCTACTTTTACTCTAACCGAGTACTCGCTTCTTCTTACCGTCTTCCTCTGCACGTACGAGTGTACGTGAAGTTACGAGGCACCGCCTTATTCTGTCATCAGAATAAGTAGCTTGTACTGTCACCAGTACAAGCTTCAGGGTGCCCCGTTACAAGTGTAATCCCAGAAACTTGTTTACCTCTATGTCTTTGATGGACAATGAACTCATCTCAGCCAAAAATCGTCTACAGCGCATTTATTCGGTGACGTGACCAACAGGTCATCCACACAGACACCGACCACTGTAAATGTCTCGCCTTTGTACTTGTAGTACAGGCACATATCCTTCATGCATTGCTGAAATCCACCTTGTCGCAGCTTATAGTCAAGTAATTTGCTCCACAGCCGCCCAGCTTGTATATGTCCACTTAGTGATTTTTCGAGCAAATCTTATTATCAGGACCACAAATGTCTAAAAGTCCCAAAAGCAGGACTATAGTTTAAACAAGTCTAAAATTTATTGATATTTAATGTTAGCCTCATCAAACTCAACTGCAACATGGGATAAGAAACTGCCTGATCACTATTGAGTCTTTCCTTTTATTAGACAACTGTCGCGAGTGGTAAAAAAACGCTCTTTTTACCAACGTTCGTTTACTTCTCAATTTGCGCCCACGAGCCGATGTGACCATTTTGGTTTGGGCACATTGCGTGCGAGCCAGGGCCCGGTCGCATGCACCCGACGAGCTCGTGACCGGGTGACACAGTTATTACACCTTGCACTGTCGATTTTAGTTAAATCAGTAATTCTTTATGTACGCGGTTGCAGCAACGCCAGTTCGAAATGTTTTACAATAGGTCAGGTCAGTGGTACCGTGATTAGTGTTAATTTCGATTGCTGCAGTCACTCGAGACATCTCAAAGACTTCTTTCAGTCCACTTCTTGCGCTTACGCTTAAACGCTCAAACTAACCATTCAAAATAAATAGCATGAGGCAGTGAACAATTTATTTTTTAATGATTACTGCTTTTAAGACCAGTACTAATTTTTATATATGTACATAACGCAGGTATAACACTTGTCTTGATATTACGCCCTAGTCAGTCAAACAAACTCCTGGCACTGCAACATATCCACACGGACATAGCACACAATGTTAAGCAGGACACTCGACATTACTTGAAACCACTTGACGCCGCTCTATATCACCGGACGCCACTTTACATCACTGGACATTACTCGACATCACTTAAATCACTCGACATCACTTGAAACGCACTGCAACACATACATACAGACAAAGCATACGATCGTTAGACAGCAAAGTCGACATCGACAGCATAATTACCTGCTACCGCTGCTCATGAGAGTTAATACAATAACGGAGTTCAAAAGTCACGAGCTCGTCGGGTGCATGCGACCGGGCCCTGGCTCGCACGCAATGTGCCCAAACCAAAATGGTCACATCGGCTCGTGGGCGCAAATTGAGAAGTAAACGAACGTTGGTAAAAAAGAGCGTTTTTTTACCACTCGCGACAGTTGTCTAATAAAAGGAAAGACTCAATAGTGATCAGGCAGTTTCTTATCCCATGTTGCAGTTGAGTTTAATGTGGCTAAAACTATGCTAGTTTGCATACTCAACCCAAGTATAAAATGATAAATTTGAACTTAATTAAACTATAGTCCTGCTTTTGGGACTTTTGAACATTTGTGGTCCTGATATTGAGATTTGCTCTGATTTTTCATTAGTAGTGTCGTATCACTTGGTGACCTTGTCACCAGGCTTTCTAGCTCGTTTGTTTCCAGAGTCATACCATTTGGGACCTTCATGTAGATATCCAGGTGCTCCTCTTTTTCGCCTTGACGTACGCATTAGGTACGTCTCCAGGGCGTGCCGGTACGTTCCATCGTCTGGAGAGCATCAAAATCAACGTCACTGTTCCCAAGTCTATGACGGCCGCGAACGTTAAAGTATAATCCACTCCAAAGACTCGTTCGTTCCGCAAACAACCAGACGAGTTTGTACCACTCAATTTATCCGTTCGCATCGGCCTACGTCTTGTACACCCTCTTGTTGTGTAGGTCGTGTGCGCCATTATGTGCCACCAAAAAACATTTCAAGCGTCATTCGATTTCAAAGCGTCCAGTTCTTCGGTCGTGGCAATTTTCCACTGCTCTCGATGGTCGCTCTTGACTGCCTCCCCATAGTGCTTGGGATCTTGCACTACACCTGCATTGACCACATCGTATCTCTCAGCAGAACCTGCGGTCGAAGGTTTGTTATCCTGCTTTTTGCTGGTTGACCTTGTACCATGTCTCCCTCTTGTCCATCCAGATCTTCCGCCTTTACGGCTCTTAGTGGCCCATTTTTTAGCAATTGGTTGCGCATGAACATTCCGCTGACCATCATTATGGATGTCCTCCTGACGGTCGGCCTTCTCCAAGTTAGACTTGAGCTGCCTGTTCTTCCCATCCGTCAGCGTTTCGATGCTTTGCTCTTGTTGCGTTAGCACAACCACCTTGCACTTCGTGATGTACACCTTGTATCATTTCTTACCGTCACTTTCGTTAACACCTATGGCCGCCTTCCCGTGCTCGCCGAGTGACTTGTTTCTGGCGTTGGCATGGACAGTGCATGCCGAACCAAACACCACGATGTCATTTTTTCTCTCATTCACTTAGCATGGGTACCTTCTTTGTCAAAACTCCATGGGTGATACACCACCAGGATTCAACTTGTTTCGACTCCTGTTAAGGATACAAGTCGCGTATTCATCAGCATTGTCCCA